AGTAACACACACAGTAACACACACAGTAACCACCTGTTCTCTGGATGTCCTTGTTTCCTGCAGAACTGCACAAGAGACATGAACAAGAGAAAAGTCGACTGATGGAAAAGTTTCAAGTCGCTGAAAACGTCCTCAAGGTGAAAACCATTTTTTATTATTATTATTAAAACCAAGACATCGTCCAACAAACTAGACTCATTCACCCGTCAACTGACGCCACCTAGAGGACACAAAGGAAACAGCAGCAACAGTTGCTTATTAATATCTTAATATATCTTTTCTGTAATAACTCTGGTGAGCTTTGTGCTTCAGGGTGAAGTGGACGAGCTGAGAGCAGAGCTGCAGGTTTACAACAAGCTGAAGAAGAGAGCCGAAAATTCCACGTTTAATAAAGACCTGCAGAGAAACATTCAGGTGAGGGGAAGGCTCATTTCTTCAGCTTCACATTTCAAAGTCAAAAAACTCAAAGACTTCATTTCAGTTTGACGTTTCTACTACGACTAAATGTCAAACACCCCGAAAATATTTCCACGTTGTCTGTGCTTCAGTGTCGATCTGTGTTCTGTTCACTCCAGGCACACGGCAGCCCAGGTGCATTCTGGGAGTCTGAGCAGGAGTCTCTGGTGTTCGTCATTGAGATGAAGAGTGAGCGTGTGCAGGAGCAGAGCAGGAAGCTGCAGCAGATGGACGATCTGGTGGGTTCACGGTCGTTCACTTTACTTTACCACCTTTTCTTTTGTTTTTATGAAACGGGTTCATTCGTTTCTTCTCTCGTCAGGTGGAGAAGAATTTGTCGTTAGAAGATCAGATCATCAACATCCTGCAGCAGAACGAGGATCTCAGAGTCCGGATCGACAACTGTCAGACTGTCGCTCAGTACGTGATTTCTCAAAGAACAGTCCGATCAAACCGTGTGATCCGCCTCAATCATTATGCACGAGACATTTTAAAAACTCAGCAACTTTCTAACACGTTTCTCTGAATCCAAAAGTGAATTTATACTCAGGATAAAATGTTAGTGACTTTAAACAAAAACAGGAACAGCACTAAAAACATTATTATTTCATTTTATTCTGTTTCGCTATTATCTTTTCTTCGGTTTTGAATTTTTCTCTTGATTTTGTTTGTAAGTTTCTATGAAGACAAACGTGAAGATCGAGGAAATGAAATGTCGCCTGTTTCTTATCAGAATCAAATAAATGTCACAAACCTAAATGAGTTAATTCTGTAACAGAATCCTCAGGAGATCTGGATCCTGAACAACAACTTAAACCTGTTTATTGTTTTCCAGGCAGTTATCAAAGGAGCAGCATGACCTGAAGGTGGCGCTGGAGAGGCAGGCAGCAGTGAACCAGAATCTATCTCAGGAAAAAGAGCAGCTGATGTTCAAGCTGAGACACAGAGACTCGTGTCCGACCATACACCTGCCGGTCATGGTGCAGGAGCTCGCTCCCAGATGACCTCACAGATAAAAACCAGACTGTTTGACTCGAGCTGACGAGCAGTTTGTCTGGTTTCCTCAGACTGGACGAGAGCTGCACGTCCTACCATCCACCAACAGGTGGCATCGTCACGCCGCTGCTGCTCTGGTCCAGCTTTGATTTCACATCAGCGCTCGTTTAAAGTCTGAATACGTCTGTTTGTCTCTGAGCCGCTTCACCACTGAGGGAGGACGGACAACTCACGACCCCTGCTGTCACTGAGGCGCCATTACAGCTGCTCGGCTTCAGCCGATACACAGACTCACAGACCCAGTGAGAAGAGACGTCAGATCGTCTGCAGCTCCACCGATCTGTCGTCTGCTCCTCCAGGTTCTCGCTTCACTCGTGGTTGTGTCACACGTTGTAACGGTTGAAGAACCTGGAAGTGAATCAACTCTCAGATCAAACGTTCAGTCGTGGTCAGTTCATGTTTTAATGCTGCTGATAAGTTCACAGTCTCAGAGACGTCACTTCATCCTCGAGGTCGGGTAAAACCGGACGGTGTGACTGAGCCTCTCGTCCTCGGTTCCCTCAGCGCTCGTTAGTTCCCACAACAAACTCATCTAATCCACCGTTTACTGCAGTTAAGTGTTTTTCTTTTTCTGTGTCGTGTTACGATCGACTCCTGACACAATAACAGACGTAAAGACATCGAGCTGGTTCTGACGATTTCATAGAAACCCGTCGGTTTGGAACTTTTCTCTTTCTCCACGTTGCTGCGTCACTTCAGGTTGTTGACGACAAACCAGAGTTAAAGCAAAGAAACGTCTCGGAGAGAAGAGTGAACCTGAACCTTGAAGTGTTTACAATCCTGATTTCCACCAGTCTCAGTTTAAAGCATGTTTTAGGGTAAAGAGCGATGATCACACGTTGCCTTTAAAACGCTTGATGACTTGATCGAGTTACTTTTTAAAAATGTGAAATGTTTCTGACAGTTTATGGGATTTATGGGATGTGATGTTTGAAATTGCCAAAAAAAACCTTGTCAGTGTTTTGACATTTTCTCCTTATGCACGAGCACTTTGACCAGTTTTTCACCTGGAGTTTGGATAAGAGAGATTTTTCCATGTTGTATAGTTCCGAACTTTTTCAGCTTCTTACTTGTAGAAAAGTATTTTATCTTTTTCTCGGTTGGTTTAAAGTCCAGCTGTTTGTTTTCAGCGTGTCTTAGCTACACGTAGTCATATTTTGTTGTTTTGGGCTTGACTAAATAAAAAACTGAACCTCATCACAAGTCTTAATTTCTTTGCTCATTAAAGACGCCTCGAGTCCTGAGAGATGACATCACATCCTGTAAACACACGAGTCATATCTGAACATGCCTCGTCTCACCACTCGCACCAACCACCAGTTTGTTTACATTTAAATATTACTTCTATTCTTTTTTTTATTTCCGTCTAACAACTTTCCTGATGTCTGTTGTTTAACTTTCCTCTTCGCTGCTGCAACGCAGCTAATGTCCCCGGAAATAATGAGATCTCGTTTTACCTCGTCAGAGGTCTGTGAATGGTCGTCCAGGTGAAACTCCGCCTCTCCACTACTGACAGCTGAGATTGGCTCCAGCCCCTCCCTCCACTCTTCTCAGAATAACCCCCCCACCTCACATATCAGTGTCTGTCACAACACCTGACTTTAACTCTGCGACAGTTTATAATCGATAGACTTTGATCCGGATCAGGAGCTGGACAGATAGTTTCTCTGACAACAAAGAGTCTGATGCTTTTACTCTGTTTCAGATCCTGATGTGAACAAACCAGGTTCAACACTTTCCTGGATTCTGATTGGATCTGAGTTCTTGGTTTTTGTTTGGAGGAAACTTCCTGTTTCATCTTCTGTCTCTGACCAGGTTGTGCAGAATGTGTGCTCCACTAGAGGGCAGCAGAGGACTGTAGAGGTGAAGAGGAGTGTGACCTTTGACCCAGCTCCATCTCTCCACCTCAGAATCTCCTGATGATCGACTGAGATCAAATCAAGAAATATCCTCAGGACCAGTCGACGCTCGTGACACCACAAGATTCACCGACACGCTCTTATGAAGGGACACATCTGGAGAGATGGGGATCGAACCACCGACCCTCAGATGATCACACCCACTCTCCCTCTTGAGCGTCAGCTGCCCACAGATCACACAAACACAGAAGAATGAAATCCTGTACATTCCCTCTGGGGGGCGCTGCAGCACAGAGCACTAAAGTATAAAGAGAAGATTTCACTTCAATATTCAAATGAAATATAATATTTCTATGAAAATGAACAATCATCTGAGATGCTCCTGCTCCTCTGAGATGTTCCTGAGATGTTCCTGCTCCTCTGAGATGCTCCTGAGATGTTCCTGCTCCTCTGAGATGTTCCTGCTCCTCTGAGA